ATGCACTGCAACCAATGCTATGAAGTCAACCATGGCCACACAACTCACTTCAGATGTCTTCAATATCACTGGGATGGTGAATCCATTCCACATTTTAATCTGAACTTTAAATGAACTATCCAAGGTGCTGCACCATAGCCCTCAAGTAAAATTCAGCACTTGACAGTGCTCCTTGAAATTTTGTGCTAAAACCTGCAGTGGATAAACTGCTCATCCAACATGAGATACATCACCTGTCACTATCAATACTTAATGCAACCGTATGCCCTATAGAAGTCACTGAAACATAACCTCTATCTACAAAGTTTGGGGTATTAAAATTGCTTATTCTACAAATAGATTTTTACCAGCTGGCCTGGAGAAAGCTATTATACTTTCAGAGAACAGGATCCAGAATAATAGCTGCAATATGTTGCTTAATTTAACCTTTGGGTAGGCTAGTCCTGTGGTGACATACAGAAATGGTAACACAGTTTGTCAAATGCCATTTCTTTTTCTTTAATAGAAGAATTAGCAAAAGCCATCTCTCATATGAATTCTCTTAATTGTCACATCTAACCATGTAAATCAGACACGAGAACACATGAGTATGACAGTTGTTGCTATAGCAATATCTCCCAAAAGATTTTTCTAGGAACAAAAATTCCTCATTGAGAAGTACACAGATTAGTTATTTAAGCATCGGTAAGATCAATAATGGCTCTTCAGATGCAGACCTATACATTACAGAGGCACTTCCTAACTGGGATGGAAAACACATGCCTTGACAAGCACAAATATATATGCCACACTAATGAGAACACTATGTGAGACATGCCTATAGCCCACAAAATATACTTAACCTCTCAGGATGGATAAAATACAACCATTGGAGGAATTGACACTAAAAATAAAATTAACTTTAAAACACTTTTTAAGAGTCTAAAATTAAGTTCTCGTTTAATCTTGGGAAATTTTACAACATAAAGCATGATTCAGTAGATATTATTTCATGCCAAGAAGCAATCAGAACAGTGGTTCTCAACCTGGGGTCCCCAGATGTTTTTGGCCTACAACTCCCAAAAATCCCAGCCAGTTTACCAGCTGTTAGGATTTCTGGGAGTTGAAGGCCAAAATCATCCAGGGACTCACAGGTTAAGAATAACTGAGATAGGGCATTAAGTGAGAACTCTTGATTCTTGCTAGGCCAATTTCTCCATTAAGTCAGGAAGTGTATGTGTGGAGAATGACAAAAGAAAAAACACAGAGGCAGCAGTGTCAAAGGCTGTGATTGCAAACACTTCCAGGCCCACTGAAATCAATAGCAGCTCAACTTCTGAGCAAACACCGATAGGATTATGCTGTCTGTTATTTCTGCTAAGGGAATGCTTGCGATTTAATGACAACACATTAGGCATAAACTGACTTGGAAGTAGGACTGAAGACACAAGGTTGACAGTAATGGGGACTAAGACTGTATATACACTGCTGTATAATAGTTTGAATGCGCATTATATAGTCAGTGCAGACTGCACCGAACTGTATCATATGGGTCTACACCAAGCATGGGTAAACTTTGGCCCTCCAGGTGTTTTGGACTTTAACTCCCACAATTCCTAACAGACTTCTGGCTGTTAGGAATTGTGGGAGTTGAAATCCAAAACACCTGGAGGGCCAAAGTTTGCTCATGCCAGTTTTGGATTGTCTTTTATAAATTCTATAGACTATAACACACATTCAAATTATTATATGGCAGTGTAGATCCAGTTTTAGTCACCGAAGTTTGCTCCAAAAGAACACGGTCTGAAAGAAAGCATGTCTGAATCATAGAACCACAACCTCAGAGCAGGCCCCAAGGGCCACCCAGTCCAGCTCCTTTGCCATGCAAGGAACACACAACCAAAGCACTCCTGACAAATGACTATCCTTTCTTTAGGCTGGATCTACACAGATGCCAAGATATTTGACCTCAGCAGACTGAAAGCCAAGGTTACAACAACATCTCCGGTATGCTGATGACATCGTTGCCTGTGAAGACCTACAAGCCACTTTAAACACCTTTGCAGAAGCATACGAGAAGCTCGGCCTGTCATTGAACATCGAGAAAACCAAAATGCTCTTCCAGCAGCCACCAGACAATCCTCTCCAATGCCAGAAATACAGCTTGATGGTATAACATTAAAAATATTGACCATTTCTGCTCCCTTGGCAGCCACCTCTCCACCAAAGTCAACATCAACACCGAAATACAACACCGCCTGAGCTCTGCGAGTGCAGCATTTTTCCGAATGAAGCAGAGAGTGTTTGAGGACTGGGACATCCATAGGGATACCAAGGTGCTTGTTTATAAAGCTATTGTTCTCCCAACCCTGCTATATGCCTGTGAAACGTGGACTGTCAACAGACATCACATGCAACTCCTGGAACGATTCCATCAGTGCTGCCTCTGGAAAATCCTGCAAATCTCTTGGGTAGACAAGTGGACAAATGTCAGCATGCTGGAAAAAGCAAAGACCACCAGCATTGAAGCGATGGTGCTCCACCAACTCCGCTGGACCGGTAACGTTGTCCGGATGCCCGACCACCGTCTCCCAAAGCAGTTGCTCTACTCCGAACTCAAGAATGAAAAGCGGATAGGCAGGAAAAGAGATTTAAAGATGGGCTCAAAGCCAACTCTGGCACAGACACTGAGAACTGGGAAGCCCTGGACCTTGAGCGCTCCAGCTGGAGGTCAGCTGTGACCAGCAGTGCTGTAGAATTTGAAGAGGCACGAATGGAAGGTGAAAGAGAGAAACATGCGAAGAGGAAGGCGCATCAAGCCAACCCCGACTGGGACCGCCTTCCACCTGGAAACCGATGCCCTCACTGTGGGAGAAGATGAAGATCAAGAATAGGGTTCCACAGTCACCTATGGACCCACCCACTGGAAGACTATCCTACTCAGACAACGAGGGATCGCTTAAGTAAGTAAGTGCCCTTATATCCCAAGATCGGATACCTGAATATCAGGGTTGTAGCCAGAAAAAAATTTCAGGAGGGGGGGGTTTAAATTGGGGGGGGGGTTGAAACCTGCCTCCTAGCTCACGCTGAAGCAAAGAGCACAGCAGGGGGCAGAGCAGCCTTCAACAGCCTGCAGCTCCGCCCCTGTCAACCACCTCCACCAAGTCTGGCCTCCTTAATGAGAGCATTCAACACCCCCAACTTGGTTGCTTCACTACATGGGCTATTGCTGCAAGTAATGACAGTGTGAATAAATTGTCAATATTTGCTTGAGGTAGGTAGTGCTTGCAGTTCTGGAGGGACTCTTAATTTTTTGTGTCTCATAGACTTAGCATGGGGATTTGGTTAAGCAGTTAAAATTCATGAGTAAACCAGATTTTTTTTAACCTGAAAAATTTGGAAGGGGGGGGGGTTGAACCCCTAACCCCCACACCTCGCTACAGGCCTGCTGAGTATCTTCCTATCTCAGATTATCTGGCAGTGTGGACTTGTACAATCAGGGGCGGCTCAACCCATTACGCAAAGTAAGCATTTACAGTATAGTTGATTTTGCCCAGGGGTGCTCTTGAGGCACTTGGGGGAAAATAGACCTTGACATATGCGAGTTGTAGTTACTGGGATGTATAGTTCACCTACAATCAAAGAGCATTCTGAACTCCACCAATGATGGAATTGAACCAAATATGACACAAAGAACTCCCACGACGAACAGAAAATATATATCAATGATTGGTTGGGGGGGGGGGGCACCAAAATACTGTTTGCTTACCATTGAAACAACAGACTGGTTCAAGATTGGGAAAGGCGTACGGCAAGGCTGTATACTCTCACCCAACCTTTTTAACTTGTATGCAGAACACATCATGCATGTGCGGGGCTTGATGAATGCAAAGCTGGGGTGAAAATTGCTGGAAGAAACATTAACAACCTCAGATATGCAGATGACACCACTCTGATGGCCGAAAGCGAGGAGGAGCTGAGGAGCCTTCTAATCAAGGTAAAAGAAGAAAGTGCAAAAGCCGGGTTGCAGCTCAACATCAAAAAAATCAAGATCATGGCAACAAGAATGATTGATAACTGGAAAATAGAGGGAGAAAATGTGGAGGCCGTGACAGACTTTGTATTTCTAGGTGCAAAGATGACTGCAGATGCAGACTGTGGCCAGGAAATCAGAAGACGCTTACTTCTTGGGAGGAGAGCAATGTCCAGTCTCGATAAAATAGTAAAGAGTAGAGACATCAGACTGGCAACAAAGATCTGCCTAGTCAAAGCCATGGTATTCCCTGTAGTAACCTACGGATGTGAGAGCTGGACCTTAGGGAAGGCTGAGCGAAGGAAGATAGATGCTTTTGAACTGTGGTGCTGGAGGAAAGTTCTGAGAGTGCCTTGGACTGCGAGAAGATCCAACCAGTCCATCCTCCAGGAAATAAAGCCCGACTGCTCACTGGAGGGAAGGATACTAGAGACAAAGATGAAGTACTTTGGCCACATCATGAGGAGACAGGAAAGCCTAGAGAAGACAATTATGCTGGGGAAAGTGGAAGGTAAAAGAAAGGGGGGCCAACCAAGGACAAGATGGATGGATGGCATTCTTGAGGTGACTGGACTGACCTTGAGGGAGCTGGGGGTGGTGATGGCCAACAGGAAGCTCTGGCGTGGGCCGGTCCATGAGGTCACGAAGAGTCGGAGACAATGAAGGAATGAACACCAACAAGCCTCTGAGTACAATCCAGTTTAAAACAAATAACTCAGATCCTGGGATATAGGGCAGTGTTGACCCAGCTATCAAAACAAGTACCAGGTTTAGGGACAGCATATTCCCCCATCAAAACACCTACAATCAAAAAGTTCTGTTTCCCTACAGTTTGATTCTTCCCTGCCTGAAGCTGCAGCTCCATCCCCTCCATCCTCACAGCCTTTCCTGCCAATTCCCTTTCCCAAGCGGCTCCCCCCCCGCCCCCCCGAAAGGATGCAAAGAGCGAGGGAGGACGGGTCTTCCTCTCTCCCTCCCAGGGACTGACCTGCGAGGCTGCCGGGCCTCTGGAGAGTGGCGGAGGCGTAGAGCTCCTGCGAGTGCGGCGGGTGGACCAGCCTCTTGGTGGGCGAGAGCGTGGCGTAGGTGCCGAGGGTGGAGCTGAGCTGGTGGAGCGGCGAAGAGGCGGCGGCGGCGCTGGAAGGCGGCGGCAGGGTGGGCGGCGAGGTGACGCGCAGCGGCGAGGGCGCCAAGCCCGCCGTGGAGACCACGATGTTGATGGGCGAGCTGGTGCTGTAGGACTTGGCCAGGCGGCTGGGCGACTGCTTCGGGGAGGAGACGCGCTGCGTGGTGCCGTAGCCCCCGCCGCTGCTGCCTTCGGAGGCGGAGCCCGCCCGCTGGAGCTTGGTCGGCGAGCCCACCTGCTGCTGCATGGAGAGCGGGGAGCTCACGCGCTGCGCCGGCAGCGTGGAGCTCGAGTAGTAGAGGGCCGGCGCGTGCGGCTGGGGCTGGGGGGGCTGCGAGGAGGAGGCGGCCGAGGACGAGGAGGAGTCCGGCAAGTGGAAGGCGCTGCCATGGCTCGGCGCGAAGGACTCCCGCGGAAGGGGCGGCGGAGGGGCCTCCGAGCCCGAGAGGTGCGCTCCCCGCCCGCTGGTGCCCTGAGGAGGAGGGGGAGGGGGAGGGGGAGGAGAAAGCAGGCGACAGACAGACAGACACAGGCAGAACGAGAGAGGCCGTCAAAGAAGAAAGAAACCCCTCACGCGCCCCCTCCCGCCTGCGCGCGCCCCCACCTCCCTCCCAGCTGTTTGGGCCTCCAACTCCCAGGAGCCCTAGCCACCTGATTCAATGCTCAGGAATTCTGGGAGTTCGAGGCTCAAACAGCTCCAATGTTATCAGGTTGAGGCTGCCTGGTTTAGGGCAGTAACCTATGGGTCCCCAGGCGTTTTGGTCTACAACTCCCAGAAATCACAGCTGTTAGGATTTCTGGGAGTTGAAAACAAAACATTTGGGAACCCACAAGTTGAGAACTACTGGTTTAAGGCTACCAGGCATAAGCAAGCTTCAGCCATCCAGGTGCTTTGGACTTCAACTTCAAAGGAGCCCCCAGTGGCACAATAGGTTAAACCACTGAGCTGCTGCTTATTGAAAGGTCACAGGTTCGAATCCAGAAAGTGGGGGGAGCTCCTGCTGTTAGGCCCAGCTTCTGCCAACCTAGCAGTTGGAAAACATGCAAATGTGAGTAGATCAATAGGTACCGCTCCATGGACTAGACCAGGGGCCCTCAAACTAAGGCCCGGGGGCCGGATACAGCCCTCCAAGGTCATTTACCCGGCCCTCGCTCTGAAACTTCTTGAAAGCACACAACAACAACAACAACAACAATCTTATCTCATCAGCCAAAAGCAGGCCCACACTTCCCATTGAAATACTAATAAGTTTATATTTGTTAAAATTATTCTTCATTTTAATTATTATAATGTTTTAAAGTGTCTTTTGCACTACAAATAACATATGTGCAGTGTGCATAGCAATTCATTCATATTTTTTTCTAATTATAATCCGGCCCTCCAACAGTTTGAGGGACTGTGACCTGGCCCTCTGTATAAAAGGTTTGAGGACCCCTGGACTAGACCATGCTCAATCTTTTTAATTTTAATTATTACATTTGGCCCGGCCATTGTTTTTAATTGCATCATTAGATGCTGTTAATGTTATTGCTTTGTTTTTTGTTTTCTGAGTTATTGTGTTGTTGTTGCTGCTGCTGTTTTTATTGTTGTATTTGGGCTCGGCCTCTTGTAAGCCGCACCGAGTCCTTCGGGAGATGGTAGCGGGGTACAAATAAAGGTTTATTATTATTTATTTATTACCACTCCAGTGGGTAGGTAATGGCACTCAGGGCCATAGTCAGAAAAATTTGGGGGGGGGGGGGGTTGAAACCTGCCTCTTAGCTCACACTGAAGCAAAGAGCACAGCAGGGGGCAGAGCAGCCTTCAATAGCCTGCAGCTCCGCCCCTGTCAACCACCTCCACCAAGTCTGGCCTCCTTAATGAGAGCATTCAACACCCCCAACTTGGTTGCTTCGCTGCATCGGCTATTGCTGCAAGTAATGACAGTGTGAATAAATTGTCAATATTTGCTTGAGATAGTGCTTGCAGTTCTGGAGGGACTCCTAATTTTTTGCGTCTCATAGACTTAGCATGGGGATTTGGTTAACCAGTTAAAATTCATGAGTAAACCAGGTTTTTTTTTAACCTGAAAAATTTCGGGGGGGGGGAGGCTGAACCCCTACCCCCCCCCCCCCCCCGCTACAGGCCTCCTTACAGTCATACCGGCCACATATCCTTGGAGGTGTCTTCGGATTAGAAATGGAGGTGAGCACCACTCTTAGAGTCAGACATGACTGGACTTAATGTCAGGGAAAAACCTTTATCTTCACCGGCTGTTAGGAATTGTGGGAGTTGAAGTCCAAAAACACCTGGAGGGCTGAAGTAGCTTACATCCTTACGTACTTGTTTATAAAGTACTTCGCTTATGCACTTGTTTATTATTTATTCATTTTTACCCTGCCTTTCTCACTCCGCAGGGGACTCAAGGTGGCTTACAAAGTCCGGCAAAAATCAATGCCACATGGGCATAACAATGAAACACTCCCAATCAAGGTTGTTGTAGGTTTTTTCGGGCTATATGGCCATGTTCTAGAGGCATTTCTCCTGACATTTCGCCTGCATCTATGGCAAGCATCCTCAGAGGTAGTGGATATTACCGGTAGCATTCTGGCAGTTGCCTATTATAAGTCGTCAGAAAAGGCCTAGTTCCACAAAAAGGTTTTAATTTGTGAACAAAAGGCCAAGAAGAAGCAGGCCAATTGCACCTCTCTAGGAAGGGAGTTTCAGGGCTACCAGGTATAAGCAAGCTTTGGATCTCCAGGTGTTTTGGACTTCAGATCCCAGAAATTCCCACTGCTACGAATTGTGGGAGTTGAAGTCCAAAAATACCTGGAGGACTGAAGTTTTCCCCATACTGTGCCAAACTGCTGACAGTATAGCCCTAAATCAGGCATCCTCAAACTGCAGCCCTTTAGCTGTTTGGGCCTCCAACTATATAACATACAACGAACATATAAATAAATCACACATCAAGGTCATTTCCTAATTGGTTCTATCATTAAAAAAAACTTAGGGAAAGTTTATTAAACTGCAAATCCTGCAGCACATTTTGCTCTAGTTTTTCAATGAGTATCTCATTGAGCCTCAACCATATTCAGGGTTCCAGAATATAAGAACTACTTTCAAAGTAAGTACTGTACAATTAAGCATGGACAAAATTTGGCAAGAGCAAAAAGTTAGTGGCTGTTTTGGACATTTACACAAATTGGTTAGCAACAATGGGCAGTGTTTACAGTGGGCTCTGCAGGAGATTCTTAAGCTGTACTTCACCAAAAGAAAAATAGCCTGTTTAACAAGCCTTGTAAATATGGATTTATTACATTATGGAACTTGTTTTGTGCCTGGGTTATAAATGTCATTTTCTAATTGGCTCTATCATAAAAACATGGAAAAAGTTTATTAAATTGCAAAAAAATAATAATTGTGAGACATCTTGCAGCACATTATGCTCTACTTTTCAATAAATATCTCATCAAGTCTCAACCAATTCAACATAGTTTGTGGCAACCACAAAAATGAACTTTCTGGAGTAAAACGACTACTTTCAAAGTAAGTATCATGCAATTAAACAAGAATTACACTTCTAAAATAGGAACATCATGTTTTCCAAATTTTGTTACATAGTGCTATGGGTTGGGACCCTTCAGTTCAATGATGGGGCCACAAAAATTTGGCAACAGCAAAAGTTTAGTGGCTATTTTGGATATTTACATTAATCAGAAACCATGTGCAATGTTTAAAGTTGGCTCTGCAGGAGATGCTTCAGCTGTACTTCATCAAAAGGGAAACTAGTCCATTGAATAAGCTTTGCAAGTGCAGATTTGTTATTCATAAATGTTTGATTTAATATACCTATATACCCAGGGTCGCCTAAAAATATAAGCAGAAAAGGGTCACAAATGGGAAAAGTGTAGCCTGGTTAAGAGCAGGCTGCACTCCCTGAGGAAGACAGGGCAGGATATAAATAAAGTATTATTATTATTATGTCTTAAACTTTCCCAGTTGGGACCCCTTTTGATCTGAGAAATGTTTACTTTGCCCCAGGTGTAGAGGCTTATAACACAGGCATAGAAATCAAACATTTAATGATAATGTCAGCATTTGCAAGGTTTGCTAAACAGGCTGAGTTTCCTTTTTGTGCAGTACAGCTGAAGCATCTGCAGAGCCCACTGTAAACACTGCACAATAGATGCACGTAAATGTCCCAGGCAGCCACTAGATGATGTTCAGAAAACATTTACTGTGACAATTTTGGGAGCCCAATGTTAAGTTAAAGGGGACCCTGCTTGGGTTTGGGACCTATAGTTGAAGAAGCAGTGTTCTAGAGGAGGGAGTTGTTTTTACAGGTGATACAAAGTGACACCACACAGAGGTTGTTTTCCTTTCAGAGGGCAATCCTGAGACTTTGTAACATTCCGTGATCTTTAAGGGAGAACTGTTGTCACTGTATGCCTTTTAAGTTTTTCCGAAGTATGACAATCCTATCATTGTGTTTTCTTGGCCTTGTTTTACTCTTGAGGCCAAGAGAGTGTGATTTGCCTGCAGTCACTCAGTGGGTTTCCCTGGCTGAACACGGATTCAAGCCCTGATTTCTAGAGTCATAGTCCAGCATTCAGATCATTGTATCACCCTGCCAAGAAGCTACATTTTCTTTTCTGGAGGAAATCTTCACACTTAAAGTGGCAAAAAGCAAAAGGCCCTGAGGCCCATTTCCCACTTTATACAGCAACAGTTCCATAAAACTTGCAGATGCACATATTGAGTCTCTCTTGGGCATGTATTTACAGAGCGTTTGCATGCATGAAGCAGATTTTTCACATCTACACATGATGCCTCATCTTTTAATCCATGCATTAAAAATAAGTTTGAAAATATTACTTCAAAAATACACAACACTCTGAATCCCCAGCCAATATAGGCGGCTGAGGAGCTGTAGTCAAAAAACAAAGTTTTCCAAGCATTGTGAAATAAAATATTTAAAAATGTCAATTTAGGGTGTGTCTCTAATACTGAAGGAAATACTTGTTGACCATGACTTAGGGCAATCCTATCATGGGATTTCTTGGCAAGACTTACTTAAAAGAGGTTTGCCATTTCCTTCCTTGTGAGCTGAGAAAGCCTGACTTCAACAAAGTGGGGTTTCAGTGGCTGAGTGGGATTTGAATTCTGGTCCCCCAGATGCAAGTCCAGCACCTTTATACCATATAGGCTCTCTAGAAATATTATTTACCTCTTGATATAAATATTATATTCCACTCACCCAGTGAAAGTACACCCATATGGCTTTGACCAATCAAGGAGAAATGCAGTTATCAAACAGTATCGAACAGTAAAATCCAAAGGGGGGAGGGGGGAAGCCAGAGTGAATATGAGAACACTTTTTGATCTACAGAAGTTTTTTCCTTTCATTTACCAATTTGCAAAATGTAAATACTAACTAACAATTCTGAAAAAGGGCCTGCTGGTTCTACCTCTTCTTTATAATGTAACCT